TGTCCCTACAAAGGCCATAAAATTATACAAAGTTGTCTTTTACGGGTTTCTACATTTCTGGCATCCCAGCTCCAGAGCGTATACTGTACCATTCACTGCTCCACTTGCCAAACTTGCATTTGAGGAATGGTTGCTCCCACATGCTTTTAAATTCTCTGAAATGGCACATACTTCTACACAAGCAGTGGCACACACAGTACACGCACCTCCTCTAGTCAGTTCCTAAATCTCCAGTAACAGTGCACGTGACAGTGTGGGTATGCGAATAATATAATTTCCTTGGACAGGCAGAATTTGAATAGGGACAAGTAAACAGCAGAGTCAAGGTAAGCAAAATTCAACTGATAGTCTAACAACACATATAAATGAAAATCAAGAATTTGGTCTGTGCTACCCCTGCAGACCTCTGTAAAATTCAGACATTTTAAGGCAAGAAGAGCTCATGATGTTCAGCCAAGAAGTGCTCCTAGATACCACAAGCCATGAAGTTCCATATGCTCTGTTCCAGTAGCAGGAATTATGCTTCCATGAATGTCAGTAAAGTTCTTTTGCTTAAATTTCCCATAGGTCATTGTCAGCATAAGAAATGATGGTCCCCCCTAGAGTCTCCACTGCCCAGACTTCCAAAAAAATTAATGGAAAATCTCTAATCTCTATTCACCAAACATTTCTGTAGTAAATTGTAGATTCAGGGACAGATACATGTTCTTTCCAGTCTCCACATCTCCCAGTCATTTCAAACATCTTTAAAAAGTAAAAATATCTCAATCCTTCCCATCTCCCTAACATTTCCTTCTGAAGGGAAAGGAGAGATGAAGTGTTTCATCCCCCTTAGCTTTTGCAATCCTTGGCATGAATAGTGAATATACTATTTCAGCAGCAAATCTCAGAGTGCAGGAACATGTCAAGGTTTTCTCTAGTTCTTCTCAATGAGCTGTGACTATGAATACATTAGGAGATAACACAGGTGCACCAGGAGCAGATCTGTAGAAACCAGCAGTGCAGAAGACCTAGCATCCACTTCACACTTCAGGGCACCTTCCAGCCTAGTTTCACTTGAACAGAACCCAGACGACACACTCCGAGAGCACCCTGTATTAAAAGTATCAAAAGTATCAAAAGTGCAGTAAGTGGGGGCTATTCAGAGATTTGCTCCATGCAGACATTCCTGACAAACTGAAATGTGAATGTAAACACATCCTGGGGGAGTATTTGAGTGGACCTCTTGACACAACAGAAGGAATGGCAGACAATTAACCCTCTAATAGCTTAGACTGGTGTCCTAACTATGTACCATATAGGCTACAAGTGACAACAAAACATGGATGTTAACATATATCCCCAGACATGCCACCTACCTTTACCTGAATACCAAACTCAGGTGAGAAGGTCTTCTCTGTGAATTGGAATTGACAGAGAACAGGACAGGAGTAAGAGCCTAGACTTTGTAGCAAAGAGGTACTTTAAGTGGTTGTCTTGAGACTATGAGGACAGTGTATAACTTTTTTCTGTTGAGAAATTAGATGAAAAATGCTAAAATTTAAAAAGGTGTTATTTTTCCTGAGAAAAAAAACTGACATGTTAGAAATATCAGCAGAAGACGTCAAGTCAAATGTCAGAGGTATTTCAGAAACTTGGTGAAACATAAATTTTGAAGAATATAAACTATTTGAGAAATACAGAAATAAAGGTGGAAGTATATCATTGTATATTAACAATAAAGTATGTTGAAAGGGAAAGTTTCTGATAAGAAAGATGCTGCTGAACATGTGTCAAAGGAAAAAAAGGAGAATGGGAGTGTGAACAGAAAAATTTCCATATCTGAAATGCAAAGAAACTGAGAATCCCAGTATGCCCACGGTTGGGCCTATGCTGATAACCTGCACTTCAGACATCTGCAAGGAATTACTAAAGAACTGTTACCTGGTAGTCAAGGTATCTAACCACCTCTCAAATCAAGGGGAGTATTGTACAAGTAGAATAGGGCTCTAACAAGGACAGAGTGAAAATTTCACCTTCACTGACGTGACCTTTCAGAGTGCCAAACAGGAGCGGAGATGCCTGATCCCCATTGATTACCGATGACACCACAAAGAAGTGTCGAAGAGATCAAAGATGAACAATACACAATGCCTGTGGCCGGAAGAATCTTGAGAAGAGTGAAGGAGAAAAAGGAGGTCTTTGGAGTGGTATGCAGTGCTATGTGGGTCCTAGATGACAAAATATTTCTCTGTAATTCTGGACTGAACTTCTGCTTAGATCATAAGGTGTCAAGAGTGACCTGGGCAGTTACAGGCTCATTATTCAATTGTAATTATACAGAAGTTTATGTGGAAAAGTGAAATTGAAGGAATCAAAGACCTGGAGACCAGCTGTGATTTAAAATGCAGTGTATCTTTTCTGGGTTTGGCTCATCCTGACCACTTACTGAACCTACCATACACTGACTGACTTCTGAAATACTTCTTCAGTGGGATAACTATGGCTGTGCCCATGTTACTATGAGGAATCAAATCCGTTTAAGTAACCACTAAGTGCTGGAAAGAAAGAACTTCTTATTTTGTTTCCTGTTTGAAGAGAAAAAAATCTGTTGACAGCAGAAGGAGCATCTGGCTCCTAAAATTCCAGTTTCCCAACTCCCTAAGTGCAGTTAAAAGTCTTGAAAGGATAAGAGCAATTTGGTAATGATCTTTCTCCCTTAAACTAAGTTTTCGTTTGTGCACCTTACCCATAGCTTGATCTCGTCTCTGTCTTGTCCAAATATTCCAGAGCAGTAGTGAATAAACTAGAGATTAAAAGAAAAAATTGCTGTCATAAATGTGAAAATGTTTTAAATAATCAGCAGACTTACGATTTTTTTTATTACTATTATTACTACCATTACTAATGGTATGGGACAAACATCCTGTGGAACTCCAAAGCATGTGATGCCGAGGGGTGGCTCCTCCCTGGATAGTCAGCAAATTAAATGAGAAACACAAGGGATGGGGTAGAGGTCAACATTATATCCCTTTTTAAAGGTAGAAAATTAAATCACAGGGAAATTAAGTGACTGGTCGAAGGTCAAACAGAAAGCAAGTTGCAGAGCATGGAAACTGAGAAACTGTGTCTTATGTTCAGCTCCTTGACTGCAAGACTACCCTGTCTTTAATGTGAAGAGGAAAAAAACCTCAGTGCTGGAATATGAATATCAAAATTAGTCTCGCTGAGAACAGTCTGAATTTCTCTCTCTCATCCAAAACTGGATATTGTTCTGCCTTATTAAAGCAGAAATGAGATCCATCCCAACAACACTGATTTGGTCAAAACAAAATTACAACTACCCTTTCAGAATTCGGTACTCCAAAAAATTGGTTTGCAATCAGTTTTGGAGAAACAGTCAAGTTAATGATCAATTTCATTGTAGCTTTTGAGAACTGAACAAAAATGCCGCCATTCCCTTCAGAGAGAATGAAGTTAGAAGCTACATCTGAGAGATATCACGGTATCCCAAGGACTTCATCCACTCTTCATGTGTTATTGTGAGTTTCTATGAAAAAGTGTATACCTGTATGTGAGTATACACATGTATACACAGAGAAATATACCTATCCACATAAATATACATACATGTGTGTGCCTATCCATATAGAGACATATATGCATATACACATATATATTTACATAAGCAGAGGGAAATTACATGGGGTTCAAGG